GTTGCGAAATCAATGCAATCGTAAGCTTTCTGGATTGTGCATCCAGACATTCCATCAAGCGCTACGAAAAGCAGAGTGGCATCAGAAGCTTTTTGGTTTACTTTAACTGGTTTAATTAGTTGAAATATATTTTGTGTGGTTTTATGTCACTGTGTTTAGGTCTATGTACATATTTTTATGTGTAATTTAAACAAATTATACCGACATGAGTCCTTAAATAGCTGTGGACGACCGGACTGCCACTTTCCGGTGGATGATGAGATTCAGTGTGATAACTGAAACCTATTGTTTCATAAAGTTTGGACTGGCTTATCACTATCAGCCTATAGGAGATGCAGAGAGCCACTGTATCCACGGGTGTGCAAACTGTGTAGCACCCAGTTGGACATCCTCATCCAAGGAGCCATAGGATCTCTTATGTCCAAAAATCTAGCAAAATTCTCAGATGAGAGATATAGGTCAGCATTGGGAACCGATTACAGGAATGATAATTCTGAACTGAGTCATAAAAATGACACGGAACCACATCTCGAAGCGATAGTCACTGAAGAGGTACAGTGTAAACAAAAGTCTGTAACGGCACACAAAATGTCGTAAAATTCTGAGGAGGCAAGTAGTTCCGACATAGTACCACGACGAAAAATCATTGAGTATCCAGTGAACGCATGACCTCCAACTGTGGCGACAGCAAAGCGGAAGTAACTAATTTCACTTGGTGCAAAAAATAGGAGGCTGAAGAACTATAGGAAAGAGAAAAAGGCTGGACTTAGTGATAAGATATCGATTGCTGTAAATACTAATACGATTGGAAAACCTTCGGACTCAAATCACAGTATCTTAATTTGGAACTTGGAGGAATCAAAGAAAGTAGATCCAGCTGCCCAAAATACTGATGATCTCGAGGTAGTTAGCTCCATCTTTTGTGAAGTAGTTCTTGAAAAAACAAGTGTAGGACATATAAGAAAGGTCACCAGATTCGGTAAACGAAATGCCAATGCAATGGAAATTTCCCCACAACTGCCGAAGTTAGTGCAGAGGAACAAGATAGAGAAGACAATTATTCTCAGCAACTCATTTATGACCAAGGAAAAAAAGGATGCGAATAAGGCCAAACTGGCCTTTGGAAGATAGAATTAAAAGAGGAGAAGCCATGGCTCAATTAAAGACCTGATTATAAAAAGGTGAAAAGATATAAACCGTTGGGCTTTTGGATGGTGAGTTCTTGGTAACCTTTGTTGCCCAGATCTCTGTTCAAAAGTCAGCATGCAATACGAACGTGTGTGGTCTTACGAGTAAACTCCCTGAATTAGAAGTGTTGTCTGAAGGACTATTGACTGATGGGATTGCTATCACTTGAAAATGGTTGTGAGTGGGTGTAGACTTTACTCTATTCATGCCCGGGTGCATCTGCATTAGAGCACACAGAGTAATTAGTCGGAAAGGTAAAGAAATTGCCCTATAAATGTGGGATGGCATACGAATTAGATCAACGTTACAGGATTTCATCATCAGCTGACATTGGTTAGAGAAACATTGGAAAACCTGGAAGTAGTGGACAGCTGTTTCCTCCTGGCTTGGGACGTTGTCGGAAGCTCATGACAGTTGCACTAGTGAAGCCGTAAGCTATCATCAACCTGGACAAGGGTACAGTGACAAATCGGGTTGTTTATAGAAGTCCTGAAACTCAAGCTGACGATTTCGTGCTAAATCTCCTCAGGACGTGGAGTAGTAGAAATGGGTGTCTAATAGTAGATGATTTTCATGCCCTCCATAATAATTGGGAGAAACTAATATCAAATGCCTTGTACACTTGTTTCTACAGGGAACTCATACTAACAGTGGTTGAAAGCGCGCTTGTGCAGCAAATAGATGCACGAACACGATACAAAACTGTACATGATCTTTCCACTCTAGATTTTGTGATAACACACCAGAAGGAGGATGTAGGTGACATTAGGACATGGGGCCGTTTGCAGTAGTGAACATATAGTTATAACTTTTACGCTGATGGTTCACAATGCCATATATACGTCAACAGCGGCTCGTCCAATGTTTCGAAGCGACTATAGCTGTAATCCCAAGTGCAGCAAACCTAGCTGGCTAATCTGTCGCAACAAACGAGAATGTCGAGGAAGCTAGGATGGGATTTATCCATATATACATTCCCTCTTTGCATGACACACTAGATTAACAGACATCGATAAGTATAATTAAAGTTACATAAATTTGGCTCACGGTGAAACTACATGGTTGCTGTCGTTTTTCACTTAAGTTTGTAGGTACAATCCGCTAACTAGTCATTCAGTGGAGCACATCAAGAAATATAGAAATATTGTCTTTGCATTAACAAAAAACCTAGGTATGTGTTGGATGGATTACAAATACTTGGGAAACAAATAAAGCTTGAAGTCATCCCCCCATATAACTTTGGTATATGCGGCACCGAATCTTATTCTTGATTTATATCCAAATCGGGTATTGACTTAAAGTAAGTTATGTATTTGTATAATTTTGTCAGCAATTTCATCGTAAGTAACACCACAAGTGAATTGTACTCAATGCAGACTAATATTGGTGATTGTCAGGCAGATTTGATTTACTGCGCCCAAGTCATCTGCCACTTGTCGCTGCATGGTTGTTCTGTACGGGTAGGTTGAATAACATGTAAGAAGCTATTCGTAAACCATTTTAGATCATGGATACTGCTTGTATGGATGTTATACAGGGTGCTGATATGGTGACAGTGGAATTTTCAAGGATGCTAAGTCATTACTGTTGACTCTTCAATATTGATTTTTCGCACCTGCAGGATTGAATTTACTGAATTCCCATTGGTGGTTAAAATTTTTTAAATATGGCATTGAGTTTTCTAACTGTATAAATACGGAGTTTTGTTTAACATTTTCGACTGTTGTAGAGACAGTAAAAGCTCTCGTATCAACGTCCAGTCTTCTTTCTTTGTCTAGCGTGCACGGTGGTATTGTCGTTGTTGTTGTTGTAGACATGCGATTAGGACAGATTAGCCAGCGCATTAAGTTAGATTCACTCGCAGTCTACAAGGTCATAATATTCATACATAACAAATTTTGTCAGCACTTTTGCTCAAGATGAACCCACTGCGTTTAGAGAAACCAATGGAACAGCAGCTAAAAATGCTAGAAATGCTTGCTGGTCTACAGATAGTACGCCCTGCCGATTCATCTACAGCCAACGACAGCATTGGTGGTAGCATGTCAGAATTCATTTATGATCCAGCAGCGAACGTGACTTTTGATACCTGGTTTCGCAGATATGAAGACCTATTTCGAGTAGACTTTGCGGATAGAGATGATGCCTGGGAAGTACGGCTTCTACTTCGCAAATTGGGAGCAGATGAGCTAGATAAATATTGCAACTTAATTCTCCCGCAGAAGATCATTTGATGAATTTGTCCATACCCTTCGTCAGCAGTTTGGTGATCAGAGATCTTTATCCAACATTCGATATCATTGCATGAAACTAGCTCTGAACGAAAATGATGATATCCATACTCAGTTGGGTATAGTCAATCGAACGTGTGAAAGTTTTAAATTGAAATCGCTCTCAGAAGATAAGTTCAAGGTATTGATTTTCAATTTCTTTTAAGTTATAAAACCAACACGAAAGTGTGTACTGGTATGACGGATAGCACGTGTATGGGTAGACCATTTGATGCTATGCTTTTTAACCATCAACCCAGGCCCAACCTCTACTATCCTTATATCCAGGAACACATGGTAAATTTTCCAAGTGTCCCGAATCACTGGTACGACCCATGGCACCTAGGGCCACCTCACTGCACTCTAACCCCGATGTACAGACACCCAGTCCGACCCCCGTATCACTCATAAACTCTTGCGTTGTTGACGCACAAACAGAGTTAGGTTATGGTGATATCTTAAGCCAGTTTGTAGTATCCCGTGACTTATTCACGATATTGCTAATTAATGCACGTTCCTTAATCAATAAGATATCTGAACTAAGGGCATTATTATTTATCGCCAAGCCTACTGTAGCTCTGATTACTGAATCATGGTGCTCATACTCTGTACTTGATGTGCACATAGGCATAGATGATTACACTGTACACCGTGCAAATAGAGACTGCAAGCGGGGTGGAGGATGTCTCATATATATACATAACTCATTCGTAGCCAGTAAGGTGGAAGATGAAATACTGAACGAGGTACCTGATTCACTCTGGGTCGTCTTACAAGGAGATAATTACAAGCTTCTCATAGGCTGTGTTTATCGAGCACCAAGCTCAACCAAAGAAACTGATGCGTTATTAGCTAAATCATTCGCACACGCCTCATCGTTTAGTACTAGTTACAAAATAATTGCAGGGGACTTCAATCTTCCAGAAGTCAATTGGTTGAGTAGTTCCGCCCCGCAACGCTTCGACGAATTACTTGCCACTATCGATTGTTATGGATGGCAGCAACACGTCCAGACACCTACTCGTGGCGACAACATGTTGGACCTTGTGTTTTGTCATGACACAATCCCAGTCTCCACCTATGTTGGTAACAGATTTTCCAGTAGTGACCATAGAATGGTTCTCTGCTCTCTGCCTTTCTCACCACTAAATACAGGAAACAAACAGGATTCAGGGAGTTTGATTTGTCGTAGTTACAAACATACAGACTGGGGATTAGTCCAAGAACTCATTCGACTCTGTCACTGGGATGAATATTTTACCACTGACTCCCTGGAGGCTGTAGTGTCCCTATTTTACAGGAATGTTATCCTTTGTCTAGATACTGTTGCTCCTAAGAAGGTAGTGAAATTAAGTAGACACCAAGCTGAATACATTCCGAGGGCATACCACAGTAAGCTAAGGAAGTTGAAGAAACAGTACTATTCCACTAAGGATGTATCACTACTGCACTCAATCCACGAGTCTCTTGAATCTACCAAGCTCCAACGCTCTCAAAAGGACCTCGACGAAGAATTAAGGGCACTTGAAAGCACCTCCAAAGTTTATAACTTAACAACACTTCTTAAAAAACGAATGCAGTCGACGAGGAACATCCCCTATTTACTTCATGACAAAGTTATCTACAATGAGCCTGCCACTATCTGTGAAATATTCAGTGAGTGGTTTGCAAACTTCAGTTTAGAAACGCGCATTCCCGGTGAAACCGGCTCCCTTACTAGCTCTTTCCTCGGAAGCATAGTGTTCACCGACCAATTAATAGAACAAGCAGTTAAAAGCCTGAGACCTTCCACTAGCACGGGACCAGATGGCCTCGCTTCTATAATTTTCAAAAACAGTGGGTGTGATATACCCCTACTACTTCTTAAATTCTTCTCAATATCTATGGACACTGGCACTTACCCTAATGAGTGGAAAACTAGCTTCATAATTCCACACTATAAATCCGGTGATAAGGCAAACGTCCGCAATTATAGACCCATAAATATAACCCCAGTTGTCTCTCGAATCATGGAGAAAGTTGTCAAAGATCAGTTGTCAGACTATCTACTTAAGGAAGATCTTGTCACAAGGTCTCAACATGGATTTCTCAAAAATAGGCCTTGCGTTACCTGCCACTTCGACTTTTTCAACTGCATCACTAGTAGTCGCGAAGCATGTAAGCTAGTTGTTGTTCTCTACTTCGACATATCTAGGGCATTTGACATGGTTTCTCACAGTATTCTCTTTGAGAAGCTGTATTCATGTGGGATTCGCAATCCATTACTGAGCTGGTTAAAATCGTTTCTAAGCAATAGGGTACAAATAACCAAGGTTGGATCTGTAATGTCTCATCCTAGGCAGATCACAAGTGGGGTTGTGCAAGGTAGTGTCCTAGGTCCACTTTTATTTACAGTCTACATTAACAGCATTTGCAACTGCTTCACCTCAGGTAAATCATTCCTATATGCTGACGACCTCAAAGTCGTTTACTCCTGCTACGCTCATGAGCTAAGCGATATGGTAAATAAAATACATCTTGAACTAAGTAGTCTCGCAACATGGTGTACTGAATCCTGTTTAAAGTTCAACATTGATAAATGCGGCTGGATTTGTATCGGAAACAGTAACCTTGACCTAAATCTTGAAATAAATGGGCGTAAACTAGCCAAGCTCAACTCAGTCGTAGATCTCGGTATCAGATACTCTAGTAACTTAACGTTCTCTGAACAAACTGATTATGCCAGACTTAAAACACGAAGGCTCCTAGGATGCATAACTCGCAATTTCTTTTGTTGTGAAACTAGGGTTTTATTATATAAAGTATGTGTCCGACCTATTTTAGAATACTGCCCGTTTATTCTTAGCGGACTCAGACAAAATGACAAGCTTAAGTTAGAACGGGTGCAACGGCAATTCACCTTAAGAATTCTTGGTTTAGAAAGTGGTCTCCAATACTATGAACGTTGCGACAGACTAAGTTTAGAACCACTCTGGAAAAGACGTCTTAAGCTAAACCTGATTTTTTACTACAAGCTAACTAATCTGCTCGTGCACTCCTCCGAGCCAATAATTTGTTGCGTGTTCTATTTGACTAAATTAGCGTACACGTATTTCCTAGTACTTCTTCACGTTTACCAATGTGCGCAGACGTTGTGGCTACTCGACGCCCACAACGTAAAATCAGAAGGCACTTGTGAAGAGTATAATCGTGTATTATAGCACTAGTCAAATTTCGAAATTGTATCAAGGTAACGTTCAACAGTAAATTGACAAATGTTTACGAAGTACATATAAAATCGATATGTGTAAACATATAATATGAGTATGCAAATTAGATTAAAATCGGATGTTTATAGTTGGTATAGGGGTACTACATAATTCCCCCACCAGAACACTGAAATATAAAAAATTACATTTAAGTGTTCGACAATAACATGCATCAGCGTAATACGTAACAGCGACAGTACACAGAAGGCCATTTATTAAGCTGAAAAATGAGCAGTTTAATGCGGTCAACAAGGTCAATAATAAATGCGATAATAAAAGAAAAAATAGGATTGATGATCGTGGTAGAATATATAAAGAATGATACAATCGGCCGGGGATCTGTAGTCTGCATACGGAAACGATAGGTGAATATTAAGCGCTATAGGATTAAATGTAGTAATATAGGGAATATCGATGCTAGAATAGTAGTGACGTGATGTACATATGAAAATATTAATCAGTTAAATCAGTAGCCAAATGACAGTTACGAATAAAGATAATAAAAATGAAAATTCGTAATAAGTTATATATTGATGATTTGTACATAACGTTTAGGCCAATGAACTCTCCTACCAGAGCGTGTAGTTTTCATAGGTTTCTCTGGCGACGTTGAAGCTTGCGTGGATGTAGGTATTGGCACTTCGTTCAGCTGGTCTTTATCGTTGGCTTCGAAATTGTCGATGAACGCTGGTTTGACTCTGTCGACACTGATGACTTCTGCTTTATTCAGTCGTTCTATCGTGATAACTTTATCGTTTCTATTTAGAACTTTGAATGGGCCATCATAAGCGGGTTGAAGTGGTCGCTGTACACCCTCTCTCATGACGAAGACGTGAGTGCAATCTGCCAGTTGTTGCGGGATGTATGGCGTTCGTTCCTGCTGGCGTGGAAGTGATATCTTCAGCTCGTTCATGTGTTGTTTTAGATGTTGCACATAACCAGTCATATCTTGTGGAACTTGGTTACCTGGGGTGAAAAATTTTCCTGGTAGTCGTAATGTTGTTCCATAGACTAGTTCGGAAACACAGCAGCCAATATCTTTCTTTAGAGCAGATCGTATACCAAGCAGTACCAGTGGGAGTTTGGTTGACCAGCAGTTTTGAGTCAAAGAAGCGGCGAGCGCAGCTTTGAGTTGTCGATGAAGTCGTTCAACCATACCGTTGGAACTAGGATGGTACGCGGTTGTTCGTATTCGTTTAATGCCCAGTAATTCAGTTAGCTGGTGAAAAAGTCGGCTTTCAAACTGAGCACCTCTGTCCGTAGTGATAATGGATGGGACACCAAAATTAGCTATCCAGTTCTCGACCAAAGCTTTAGCTACCGTTTCAGCTAAGACGTCGGCTATCGGAACTGCTACAGGCCAACGAGTGAATCTATCGATGCAAGTTAGAATGTAGTTGCAGCCATTGGAAGGAGATAGTGGACCAACTATGTCTACATGTATATGTTCAAATCTAGAGTCGGGATTAGGAAAGCGACCAAGTGGTGCATTGGTGTGACGGTTGATTTTGACTCTTTGACAGGACAAGCAATTTAGTGTCCACTTCTTAACATCGCTGTTAATGTTCGGCCATATAAATCTTTCTTTTAGTAGTTTGATAGTAGCGCTGACACCGGGATGAGACAAGTTATGTAACTTCACGAATACTGTATGTCTCATAGCTGCTGGAACGAAAGGTCGATATTTACCTGTAGAGATGTCGCAGATTATTTTTGTCGTGCCAAAAGGAATTGCGTCGAGTTTTAGAGATGTTGTTTTAGAAGACATGATCTTTTTTAGTTCGGCATCATCTCGTTGTAAGTTTGAGAGACGTTCGTAGTCGATGTCTGGGCATACAATGTTGTCAATGTGCACACGTGATAAAGCGTCTGCCACTTCATTGTTTTTACCCTTTGCATGTCGCAGATCGGAAGTGAACTGAGATATAAACTCGAGATGTCGTAGTTCACGCGGGGAGTAGTTATCCTGTTTTGCTGATAAGGCTTTCGTTAGGGCTTTATGGTCTGTAAAGACAGTAAAAGCTGTACCTTCCAGCATATGTCGAAAGTGCTTGATTGCTAAATAAACAGCCAATAACTCTCTACCAAAGGTGCTATAGCGGCATTGAGTAGGATTCAGTCGTTTCGAAAAGAATGCTAGGGGTTGCCATTCGCCGTGTACGTGCTGTTGTAAAACTGCCCCGATGGCAACGTCTGAGGCGTCCGTCATGAGAGACAGGGGGGCGTCATTTTGGCGTCTGACTAAGAGTGTCTTGTCATTTAACAATTGTTTGACACTTTCGAATGCTTTAACAGCTTCTGCAGGCAAATGGAATGAACGACTACGTCCACGTAAGCAGTCGGTTAATGGTTGTAAAGCTTTAGCACAATTCGGGATAAAACGCCGGTAAAAATTAACGAGACCCAAAAATCGCCGTAATTTCTGAAAAGAATCTGGTAATGGATAATCTTTGATAGCTTGTACGTCATCAGGGACTGGTCTGATTCCTTGGCTATCGATTAAATGACCGAGGAATTTCAGTGAGGTCTTACCAAATTCGCATTTGTCTAAGTTGATAGTCATTCCGTATTGGTTCAGTCTTTCAAACACTGTCTTCACATGTTTCAAATGCTCGGCTTCGTCTGCACTTGCAATTAGCAAGTCGTCGATGTATGCGTAGACGAAAGGGAGACCACGGAGTACTTGGTCAATTAGGCGTTGGAATGTCTGAGCGGCGTTCATAAGTCCGAATGGCATGCGTACGAATTCATATAAACCGAATGGTGTGGTAATGGCAGTTTTCGGAACGTCATCCGGGTGGATGGGGATATGATGATACGCTCGGACCAGATCGATTTTAGAGAAAACTTTAACATCTGGTAAGTTGCTAGCGAAATCGTGGATATGTGGTATTGGGTATCTATCAGGTACCGTTTGCTTGTTTAAAGCTCGATAATCACCACACGGCCGTATCTCATCAGAAGACTTTTTGGGTACCATGTGAAGCGGTGAAGACCAAGAGCTGTTGGACGGTCGAATAATACCAAGCTCTAGCATTTTATCGAACTCTGTTTTGGCGATTTTAAGTCGATGTGGGTCAAGGCGTCGGGGACGTGCAAAAACTGGTGGCCCAGTGGTTTTAATATGATGAACCACGTGATGCTTTGGTTCTGTTCCTCGAAAAGAAGGTTGTAAAAGGTCAGGAAACTGATTTACCAAATTGGTATATGGAGATGCTGGTGTGCGTGTGACCATCAAGTTCAGTGATGATGCACGGCTAATCGTACCAGCAATGTACGTTTTATTGAGCGAATCTATTAGCTTGGGGCTTATCGGATCAACTAACAGTTTGTGTTGCTGTAGAAAATCAATACCGAGGATTGGGGATGGGACGTCTGCAATGATGAAAGACCAAGTGTAGGTATTCTTTAAACCAAAATCTAAAGTCATTCGTTTAGTTCCATATGTAACAATACTGGACTGATTAACAGCTTGGAGCATAACTGCTGGGTCAGGATGTTGACGTTCCTGTGTAGACGGAGGGAGAACACTCACCTCTGCTCCTGTGTCAACTAAGAATGTAGTACCGGTATTTTTATCTGTTACATAAAACAAACGGCTGTTAGATCGTAGATTGCCAACAGTATTTTTTACACATGACGATATATCTTTTGGTTTAGTCTGCAAGGTGAACGGCACCGTCGTGCATTGCTTCCATAACTACAGTGATACCAGCAAATACTATCGCGATGTCGTAACGTGCCAGGGGATCGAGAAAGAAGTCGACGAGACGAGCTTCTAGAACGGCTTGGTTGTGTGCGTGTAGTCAGTTTTGCTAACTGACTCAGTAAGGTGTCGACTTTGTGTTCTAGAGTCTGTATTCTATCGTGAGTGTCTGGTATTCTGCTAGTGGAAGCGACAGATTGAGGTGTTGACCTCTCGTACATGCGATCCGCGATTTCGGTGAGCCTTTCTATATCAATGTCGTCGTCTCCGAAAGCAAGAACCTGCTGGATGTTTGCGGGAAGTCGTCGCAGCCAGATTTGATAAAAGAGACGTTTGTCGATTTCTCTTCCGGCAACTAGGCTTTGCATATGCCTCATGAGTTGCGATGGGGTTTTATCCCCTAACTCAACATTGCTTAACAGGTGATCGAGTGCTTGCCTATCCGAAAGCGAAGTGCATCGGAGTACCTCTTCCTTCAACTTGTCGTAAGGTGCTTCTGTGGTGGGATGAACGATGTATTGCCGTACCTGCTCGGCGACTTCGTCTGGTAGTACTGTACT